TGTGTGGAAATAATGCCAACGCGCCGCCCGGCGGAGAGCGGCTCTGATGCCGCTCCTGGCTCTGCGAGCGCGGAGGAAAAGCCGGCGAGGCGGGGGTACCTACCACCCTTTGCTTCTTGATCTCGGACATGGTTGCGCCTCGCGCGGCCCGGCGGCGACAGTTCCCTCGGCTACGGGCAGGAGCAGTGGAAGAGGGAGGGCACCAGAAGGCAGCCAGCAGCGAGGGAGGGAGGAAAAAGGGTGTCCTGCGGATCGGTCCCGCTGAACTGGCCAGCAGCTGAAAGGCTGCGAGGAAAGAGGTAGGTAGGTATAAGGGCTGAGGAGACACGTAGCACTTCCCAGCCCACGGCCGCACTCCGCCCCTTGCTCCTCCTCTCGAGGCGACAGTCACGGAGCGGGAAGAGCAGCTGGCCGAGGGAAGCGGAGCTGCGGAGCGGATCGCCTTTGTCCCTCGCGCGCCTGCGCCCTCTCCGCGCCAGACTCCCAGGGGGCGGCCAGACTTTGCGTGAACTTTTCTGGGAGGGGTTCAAGTCGGGCTCGGGCCTCGATGGGTGGTAAAGAGGGGGTGCGGCCGGCGGGCAGGCTCGCTCGCCGGCTCGCCCACACCTTTTCCTTTTTTGAACAGGTCCAGCGGCGGTTAAGGCAGAATTAAAGGCTGTGCTTAGCCAGAGACTTAATGTTACCTTTTGCAAAACTGCACACCCACGAGGGCTGCTGCCTCCCGCCCTCCTGCGCGAGCCTGGCGTGAGAGTGAGGAAGGCAAAGGGAGCCACTGGCAGAGTTTGCCTTTGCGCAACAGTCTTTGTTCTCTGGACCTTTCACTCCTCTCCCTTCACCTGCTTTTCTGGAGGTTTAGCCTCTCCCCACTTCCCCCTGCTGCTGCCAGGTAGGCTGGTGTTTCACTGGCCATGAACTTGCAAGTCCTGAGGGGGCTGCGGTTTTCTTCGGAGACTGCCAGACAGAGCTGCTCCCTTGAGCAAGCATCCTCCCCATTTACTGAATCCAGGTGACAGATTCACCTGCTTATAACCTCCTCTGTGTTTCTTCTTTTTCCTAATTAGAAGAACGGAAAAGATGGAGTATAGCTGAACAGTTGGCCATTGCCACAGTAGCCATTTGGAGCTCACAGCTGATGGCTGTGCCTGGCCAACTTTGCCTTGTTAAGTAGTCCGGTTAGCCACGGGAAGGGAGACCGCCATCACATTCCAGAAAGTTCAGAAAACTTTCCATGCTAACTTGAAAGAAGATGATGACAAACCATTTTTTGATTAGTCTACATCAAAAAGTAGACACAGAATCTGGTAGCAGCTTCAAGATTGGCCAGCTCAGCTGCTCATGAAAGCTACTGCATTAATAAAATTGATGTGTCTTGAAGCAGCTAACATATTGGTTCATTTCTGTATTGTTGCCAAGAAAATTGCATAAACATGTCCGTGTAGTCCCCAGGAGTTGCTTGAATGTTAACTACAAGGAAATTTACCTTTTTATTCTATCACCCAGCAATCACGATGGTGACACCAAGCCTGCCTTCATCCCAGAGATAATCACTATCATGGATGGAGTCAATTCATTGACGTTAGTACACCTGAAAGCAGCTGTACCATTTTTCAGGCTTAGTTCAGGGTGGGGGGGAGGGTTGCTTTAATGAACAGCAGAGAGGTGTTTGAAGTGTGCAGTTCTAGTTTGCCAAAGGATTCTATGTGGCAGAAGGAATTCACTGAATTCTTTGTGTAGTACCTATTCCAGTCTTAATGGGATCAATTGCGTTCATCAAGATTGTGGTATGATATTACCCAACTTACATGCACAAGAAGCCAGGAATAAAACAATATTCTGGTCCTAAAGAGTTGCTGTAAGAGATTCTGAAGGACAATGAACATTTTGAATACAACCTTTCTGAATATCTCAAAGACTGGCTGTTGTGATAATATGCCCTGCTATTATGATTAAAAAACATGGTTACTTGCATTTATTGTTTGAGTTATAAAGCTAAAAGTTGAGATTACCAGTTATTAATTTCATTTATTGTAGGAAAGTTCAGCAGTGTCTACAAGATCTGAAGGCTTCAGAATGATGAACAGTGTCACAATGTCTGATGCAAGCTCTGACTATTTTGTATGCACATCCAACATCACAATCTGGTTGCAAAAGGGGTGGAACTTACATCTCAAGACATATTTCATCATTTCCCCCCTGCCAGACACAAAGGTAAATTGTGAGAAAGTAAATAGATTGGTGAGAAGGAGAGATTTTCAACACACCAGTGAACCCCCTTTCAAGTTCAAGCACAGTATGAAAAAAACCCACACTAAATCAACACTCAAAGCTATCTCATGATGGCTCAAGCACCAGAAAGCTAGAATATCAAAAGTTAAGATAATGCCTTAAAATCTACTCCATGATAAGTAATGTTGCTATGCAATGCCCTGCACCACATTTACATACCATAAGTCTTCTATGTTTCCACATTTTTCTTTTGTTTTTCAGGGCCAACTCTTCAAGGAAGGATTGTGTAGGACAAAAATGTCCCCACTGTTCAGGTCCTCCATCGGTTTATGAAGCATTTGAACCTGACATGTGATACTGCTTACTTTCCTGACCATAGACCACGCCTCTGAGCTTCCAGTTTCCTGCTTTTGTAGAGTTTCAGCCAAGATTAATAAAAAAATTAATTCTGATCTAAATTAGAAGCATTTGTTCAATCATTGAATAATAGAGTGTTTATGGGTAATGCTTACAGTACATTCCTATACATCTTATACATATCTGTTTAAAAATAAATTCCACTAAGTTCAAAGGAGCTAGCTAAGTGTTTAGGATGGCAGCTTAATATAATATACTGCATTAGCAAGCCACAGTATGTTGAAATTAACATTTCTGTAAGCTCATAAAAAACAATACTTTTATAACTGGCAATAATTACCATAATTACCATTTTAAAAATCCACATTTAGCTAATTCACAGATGAATCTAAATCATTACAATATTGGTAGCAAAACCACATCAATATCAGAACATTACAATTTAAATTAAATGAATTTATATTTCTGAATACCCACTTTTCAATTACAATCTCCTAAAAGTACAGCATATTATGGGTACTTAGTAAGATTTATATAATTTTCTTGTGGTGGTTTGACAGGCAACGGTGTATTCTAGGCTTTTTCTTCCAGTAGAAGAAAGACAGCACTTGGATATTTTTACTTATACAGTATTTATTTATCAGATTTGTCACCGCCCATCTTGTTAAAAAGCAACTCTGAGCGGTTTATATTTATGAACAGCAGGTAAACTGTAAATATGCTAATACAGAGAACTAGACATTCTGTTTTCTGTTGAAGTCTGTACTGCAAACAGGATGTATACATTATCAGTAAATCACATATTGACAAGTGTATACATGCACATATTCACACAGAGGTTATACCTCTTCTTGCAGTTCTCTTAATTCTTTTTCCACATAAAACAGCTACTATTTTCTTTCATTCCAGTTGCAGCCAGTCCTATAAGATGCCCATATATTGAGACTTATTCTCTTCGTGCTGATCAACAGGCTGGGTTTATATAGCCATGGTGCAGATATAGTTTAAAACATTAAGAAACTTTGTGGAAATGATCAAATTGATTATTTTGGGACCCTTTCATAGAACATTGAAAATGAAGACAGCAGAGCTTGATTTGGCCTTAAATCAGTAGGGAGGAGTAGCCTCGTGTGGACTAAAGAGAGTTGTACGTTCTGTTGATGACTTGGTTTAATTACATTTCAAACAGGGATCCCAAAGAGCTTTTCAGAATGCAGGAAAATTGCAGATTTCATTAGTGTACATTGTGCATCTTGGAAAAATATTCTGACATCTGGCACTCCTTGTTTGTTTATTTGTCATGCTTGTACACTGCGGTAATCAAGAGACAATTGCCAAATGTGTAAACAGTATTGTACTGGATAAGTGAATTTGGCATATGTCATGAAGTTCATTGGATTAAAATAAACCCTTGGAACAGATCAGGTAATTATACCATCATGCATTTATCTTACTCAGGAGAACACGTTATATTGTTCAAATACCCTATGACCTAGATAAGGACATGTTAAACCCTGCTATATAAAATGAATAGCTAATCCATGGAAGAGTACTACTTGATTTAATATTTGCATTATTTCAAAGAATTGAGACCATATTCACGTTATTTGGTGCACAATCAGTGTTGTTTGTTTTTGGCAACAACATTTATGTTTATACAGTACTAGGTAGGAACACACAACAAGAATTTTGGCATCACAGAAGATGATATACAGTCAGGACTGCAATAATCATCATGGCTCCTATCACTCGCAGGTTAAGGATTTTCTATAAAATACTCAGCTTAATAGTTCAAGCTCACAAATCCCCTCTCAGAGACAATCTATTACTTCCCCATTAGGGAATTCACTGAAACATCTTCTTCCTGGTCATTCTTACCTCAGCCTTTGTAAGAAGAAGTGGATCTTTTTCAGTCAGAAGGAATCATGCATGGTCAAGGCCTAATAGTACTGCCCTTCTTTGGATTCAACCTTTATTCCCTAAATAAACTCAATTACTGGACTGATACATCAAAATAAGATATCTTGTTTAACCCTGATTTGTCACACAATCCATTACTGGCTGGGTTCGTACATTGCCATTGCAAATCATGGTTTATAAGACATAATGACTGGATTCCTACAAACTTCACACCAGAACCAAATAAATCTCATTATGGCTTAGTTGGAACTTAGTATTTCACTGGTACTAAGAGGTTGTACAACTCAAGTTCTTTCTTATCTCATCCCCAACCTGCTAAAAGAAAGTGTCACAAGCTCACTGCCTATCAAGTCCTCAAGATTTACACTAAATCAACTCTGTGTTCCAGGCATTTCAACAAGTATTTGTGTATAGCAGGTACAATTCTAGATAGTTAAAAAGCCAGTATTCTTCCTACTCTTCCTTAAAGGAAATGGGCCCCTTTTTAGATCCTAATGGCTGGATCCTCTTGGGCACACACTTGGAACCAACTCATTGATATTAATAACTTGGTTTCATGATTGTTAACAAGTCTGCTCCAAGGAGGTCCAATTTATTAGGCATTCCTTCATATTTTTAAAATGTGGAAAGTCAAGGTTGAACTTTGAGAGGAGGGTTCTTGCACATTTTGCTTTTCTAGCTGCAGACAAGGGAGGAATTTCACCCTTTACAGCTTCTTCTCCCTCCTGCAACTGCTTGACACAGATTTCTGGTCAACTCAAAAACCTGTCTCCCATTTTGTGATATTTTAATTGACTGGAATAAAGAAGTATCACTACAGTAAAATTGGGATTTATAAAACTGATACATTCGCTTTCACTACCACTTCTCACAATTATTTGATGGGATTTTATTATTGTATTATTTTCAACATAGGCTGGCAAATAATTTTGATTTTGCAGAGTGCTGAGAGAGTCTTGGGGGACCCCAAAGATCCTTGGACCACACTTTGCGAAGCACCGAATTATGGTATTCTAGATTATGCATCAAAAGAAAACAGTCTCTAAAAGGATGTCCCTCTGGATATATCTGATTTAATAAAATAGCCTTCCATTAAAAAATGAGTTATTTCATTTTCCACTTTTAAATGGCACTACTTATTAATATCCCATTAGGATTGTATATGTGTATGTATGTATGTATGTATGTATGAGAACTGCAACACTTTTATGAGTTCTCACTGATTTAAAACATTTCAAATGCTCCTAAATTGTTCCTAATAACTGTTCCTTGGGTGGATGAGTGGATGTGTGTCAAAAAAATCAAGATGGCAGCCACAAATATCTAAATATGGATGATATGCTGGCCCGAGAGAATCTGACTTTGACTCTCTGGCAGTATAACATAATGCTCTTTTTGAATGAATGCATATTAACAATGCTGAAGATTCATACAGATAGAAGAATTTACTCTTTTTTTTTTTTCCTGTATCAGGCAAAGGTATATAGAAGTCATTGTTATAGGACTCTTTCTATAGCTGGGGAAAATAATCTCTATTAAGCATAGATTTTCAGATGTGTGACAATAGACTTATCTGAGGCTAGAACTGCTATTCAAACTCATTCAAGTATTAATAAGATTAAGTGGACTGACTTGGGAAAGTGGATATGTCTTTCTTCTGTTTCCCCTGGTGTTGCTAGCGGTCTGCAATTTGCAAACAAAGAAGTTAGGAGAAATAATGGTAACAGGGATGCACAATCATGTTTTTCCAAACCTATTATCCTCCATAAGGGGAATTATGGAAGTTGGTCCAACACACTGGGGCAACAACCTGTTGAGGGGTTGATATATTGGTATTAGCAAAGGAATGGACTTGGGTCCTCCATCAGCTTTTTTCATGAACCCATCAACAGATGTAATTGCTGAGTCACTGATAAGAAAGGAATAGAAATGGTATGATTAAATTGATAAGAAGCAATGTCACAGAAAGCCTTCAAATGCTCAAACGGTAGGAAACCTACAGTCCTTCAGGTGTTAGATTTCAATTCCTACTTTCCTTGACATTTGGGCAGAAGGTTGAGAGTCCCTTAACATCTGGTGGACCCCAGGATCCCCAGCTCCAACCTTTGATACATATTACTGCATTTAAAAGCCTACCTAGGGGCCCTCTCTTGATTTGGAGCTGAAAGAGTAATGAGAGAGAGAGAGATGGTGGATAATAGTGACGGTGGTGATCTTAATACACTCTCTTTTTTATTTATTTGTATCCATTTCATTATCCTCCGCTTTTATCTCCCTTGCCCTATTTTCTCTTTCCCCTTTTCTCTCTGCCCCTTCGTCTTTTTTTACTCTTCCTCATTAACAACTCACCACTTTGTTGGAGGCCCCTGGACCACAGCAGTCCAGCCCCTACTGTTGCTACAAGGAGAATGAGAGAGAAAGGACCACAGCTATGCAAGCTTGGAAGTTTAGCTGCAGAGCACAATGGTTGGGTGTCTTTCCAAAGGATGCTACATGAATGGCCATGCTCTGTAGCTGGGCCTTGTCTGCAGCCTTTGTCCCTCTATAGTTCAACCACTGAAATGATGACATCAGAGAGACTGAGGCATCCTTAATCATAATACCTGATACCTGATCCTTTCTACAGGATGCTGCAAAATTCACTGCCACATTTCATGATTCATCTTTCAAGATTCTGTTGCTTTCTGCCATTTGCCTAAAGATAGCATGGTCTGGAAGGAAAGAATATTATATTCATTCATTCATTCATTCATTCATTCATTCATTCATTCATTCATTCATTGGTCTGGCTGCTCACTCCTGCCTTAAAAGCATTGACACCAGGAAACAGTCTTTCCATCTCTTCCTTTCCTTTTTGATGGAATTGATATACTGATTAAGAAAGAGCATTAAATATGTGTCAGATAACTTTCATTAATACTTGCCAGTATAAATACTTCCCAACTTTTTGCTATTAGAGTCTGTTATTGTTCTGCTAATGGCCTTCATTTTATCAGTAACAGTAATGGCCAACAATTTCTGTATTGCTGCCAAGAAAGCTACATGGATGCATCCATAAGATAGATTCTTTATTATGGTAGTGTCCAAACTGTAAAATGCACCACATACATAAAGCTAATATTGATTAATTAATTAATTAATTAATTAGGTAAGCATGTCAATCAAACTAC